TCGGTATATATTGTTTTTGATGAAAAACTTCATATTAAATTAGGAGGATGCTGGATGAGGCTCGTCTTCAGACCTTCTTTCCTCAATTGTCATAATTGCCACCGGCTCCCTCATCTAGCTGGCTCAGCTCTTCACCTGAATTGCTTGCTGAACGAATTTAGTTATCTAGTGTCGTATAGACCCCTAGTGGCGACGTAGGGTCCCTATGACCGCCTGCAACCTTGCCGACACCGAGTAACCGAATAAAAATTTCTGTGTCATCTGTATAGATGAGAATTGACCGTCAGAATTGAATCGGTCATTTTTCGAATTCCTGACCGAACCATCAGATTTATGGACATGGTAACTACCCGTCATGACCGCGGTAATTGACCGTAATTTGACCGGTCATTTTTGTCACACATCCCTAGGCTGAACCCCATAAGACTTCTTCTTATTTTACTTTATCCATGTAATCAAACTATTGCCTTTATTTTATTCGATTCACTCAAAAAGGATTGAATGGATTTTATGATTTTCCCGACAAAAAATTATTTATGCCACTCATGCCTGAAACCGGCTGGATTACACACTCGACGCTTCGCGTCTCGTGTCTAATGCAGCCGGTTTCAGGCTTCGTGACATAAATAGTATATTTCGTCACTAGGCCGAAAGTTTTTTTTGGCCATATGACGAACAGTATTTTTTGTTATGACGGCCGTAGGCAGAGATTCACGGACGCGGAGCGGAGCGTCCGTGAAGCGCTGCCTCACGGCCGGAATGACAAAAAATTTTGTTCAGTACTTGTGGGGAAATTTCGTCCTTAACGTGTGTGGTTACATCACTCGCCTTCGGCTCATGCTGTAAACCCCACACACGTTAAAGACGAAATTGCCCCACGTGCTGAAATATACTATTCTTCTCTTCAATGTATACAACTTTGAAACAATTGAATAGTAGAGATCTTGCATGATTTTTTTTTTATTTTTAAACTCAAGTTTAGGCCTTAAATGACTGATTTTTCATTGATAAACATTTAAATTAGGTTCCAAAAAAGGTCCTGGGCTTCGATTTTCTTTCACATCATATACGTCTCTTCAATCTTTAACAAAACTCTGTTGGTCGCTCAAAAGTTACGAACGCCGTGTAAGCGCCGCGTCACGCCTCGCCTTGACCCTTCATTTCTGACCCTTAATTTCGAGCACCAAAATTTCCTCCCCAAAAATCGATTTGGATTCGATAATATAGAGAGATATTGAGACCCTCATTTTGACCCTTAGTTTTTGGCCCACGTAACCCTTATTTGGACCCTTAATCTGACCTTGTGACCCTCATTTGGATCCTTGATCTGACCCTCATTATAACCCTTGTAAACCTTATTTTCACCCTGGGGACCCTTTGGTTCTGACCCTTGGTTTTTGACTCCCATGTGAAAGAGATATTGAGATCCTTATTTTGACCCTTGAGACCCTTAATTTCTGACCCCCATGACCCTTATTTGGATGCTCTGCCCCTTGTGACCCTTCATCTGACCTTTGTTACCCTTATTTAGGCCCTTAATCTGACCCTTGTGGGCCTTATTTGCTCCCTTATTCTGACCCTTGTGACCCTTAATCTGACCTTCGCTCTTCATGTTGATAAAATTATCGGCCCATAGCTGCAATGAACATTGCTCAAACTATCGCGCATGATATCTCTAAAATCATCGCAGTAAATATCGCCACAATTGTCGTAACATCGCCATTTTCAATCATGGCGGCATGGCGGGAGCCTACCATGATATTAAGTAAATCATTGAAAAATTATAACGCTCACTATTTAAAATACTATATCTCGTTACGAGTGCGGAAAAGAGTTTTTTGGCTCGTGGGAGGTTTATAGCCCGAGCCGAAGGCGAGTGACGAAAAGTGATGCAAATTTATTATCGCAATTTCATAATTCTTATGCCATTAAATTACTGATTTTCCATTCTATATTTCCTCACAATTTGTATAATATATTGTGTTACAAGTGCGTAAAGTACCACTTTTTCGCACACACGCGTAACACACCCAATTTTTTGTAATACCTGCCGAGTTCACTGTTCGGAACCGTAGTGGGGGTAAAGTGGTTGCTTTTGTGCGCGGTGTGCGTAAAGTTCAAGGTCGTGCGTAAAACTTGGCTTTACGATCTCTGAACTTTACGCATACTGTGCGTAAAACAACCACTTTACGCACACTAAACGGTTTCGAAAAGTGAACTTTTGAGGCAGGTAGTACAAAAAAAAATTGCTGACGTCGCCCTATAGTTTCATGCTAAATTGAAAAATAGCCATAAGGGTTCATGTATAAGAAATTGATTTAGTTGGCAATAACTTGTAAACGAAATCTAGTCTAGAAATATTTGAAAAAAAATCATACATTAGTTGAGCTATAAAAATTTCGAATCAATGTCATAATTGTTTTCATAGACGAACCCCCTTGATAATTTTTATAGAAAAATACTTACAGTGCAAGCGTCTTTTCCCGCTTCACCCCCTGCGCAAATGAAACTGGTCGTGTCCAAAACAAAATAGGATCCTAGTCTCGTAGTCCTGAGGCGAGTTTCGCAGCTGCCTTGATCTACAATAGGAACATCAACTTCCTTCAGAAGTGCCTGATAGCGTCCATCACTTCCAAACGAGTTTTTTCCCCATCCGCTGACCCAGCACCTTGAAAAATGCATTAAAGTATAAAAATAAAATAATGAGAGGTGAGTTCAATGGTTCATGGAATGATTGAGATCTTAAGTGTAATTGATAGTTTTACCTTGTTCCAGTTGCTATCATTGCTGTGGGTAAGCACGCGGTGTTGATGTTGGGAGCTGTGGCGATAGGCGCCATTCCGTTCAGCCGAATCACTGCTACATCGTTCTGGAGAGTGTCAGCTTTGAAATTTGGGTGAATTCCTATTGATAGAGGACGGAATTCCACGTATGGGTTTGGCTCTACTGTAGCTTTACCGTCCCAATCTCCTAGACGTAGTTTGAAGTTCGCAGGTCTGAAGAGAAAAGAAATGTTTACCCAAACTTTATATCGAACAATTCCAAAATTGCAGTTTTGAGGGAAATTCTCTTTAAAAACATTCGTCCAACATTTTCTGTCACTGGTCTATTCGGCTATAATTTGGCCCTATGAGAGGAGATATATATCGTTGTAGGTATATCTACAGATACTGCAGTAAAATTAATTGAACTATAACTGCTGAGAGCGCAAATTTCTTCATGTTTTTGCTTTCGGATGGAAGCCTTGTTTTTTACCGATTTTTCGATTTCCTAATTCTGTCTATATGTATCCGACAACTTGGGTTTTTGGTGATTAATTTTTAGAAAATTCAACCTAAATACGGTGAAATTTGTAGATAAAAATCTGAAATTTTGACTCATTGTAGCTATTATTGAGCTAAACATTGGCGCGCTGTTTCAGCCCGATCGATCCAGTAATTCCTGAGATCTAACAACTTGTTTAAATTTCGTTTTTCTTCAATATCTCAAAATTTACTGCACCGATTTCAATTTTTTTTCAAAATACTCGTCTCGTTGGCCTCTATGTAAGTCAAGCAGAATATATAGACTCTTTAATACACAGTTTGGAGATATTGCCGTTTTTCCATTTTTCATGGAAAATCTTGTACGCACGATAACTTGAAAAAAAAGGAGATAGCAAGTTGAAATTGGCATGGTTCCAGCTCTTATAATACTAAAGGTTGGTATTTTGGATGGGCGCAATCGGCCGAGTGGTTCCAGAGATATGCAAACTTTTGTGTACGTATATTTCTTCAAATATCTCACGAACTTCCTGACGGATTTCAATTTTTTTTTTTCAAAATACTCGCCTCGACGTCTATCTAGACTAATTAAAATATATATCCGTTCATACAAAAATCCCAAGATATTCCCGTTTTTAGGTTTTTTAATTTTTTTCGTTCTTGTATGTACGATATTTTGAGAAAAAATTAAAATAGCAAGTTGAAATTTGGTATCACTATAGCTCTTACAATATTGAAGGTTGGTATTCTGGATGGGCTCAACCGGACGAGCAGTTTCGGAGATATTTAATCTTTTGTATAAATCTTTCATTAAAAGATTGAATATCTTCCTGTAGACATCCTCTAGAATTCGTTAACGGATGCATACGGACAGAATGGATGCTACGAATCCATTCGGAAACTTGGTACTAATGGAATTGGTAGAAAAAAAAAGAAATGGACTAATAACGCAAAAAGTAACGGTCACATGCCTTCTGTCGGATAAGCTCGTATCCCTGCTTGCTTTGGTTGATTCTTATAATGAGAGAAGAAAATAAACAGGGGCCCGAGTCTGTCCGACAGAAGACATTTGACAGTTACTTTATGCGTTAGTAGCCCTTTTCAATTTTTTTATTTCCACCAATTCTGTTGGGAGTAAGCTTTGAAATAGATCCGTAGCAATTCATTCTGAAAATAAAAAATGGCAATTTCACCTGAAAATATGATAGCAATTCGTCAGAGATTTACATCTCTTAAAATAGGCCACACTCCCTGTCTCTGCCACAGCTGTAACATTTTTTTTTCCAAAGCTGTTTGAATGAATGGGTCTATGCCAGGATGTACTGAATCAATAGACACAAAGCGTTATAAATATTTAAGTGTGACTCGGTCATACTAACTAGAAGCCAAAATTTCAGATATTCCTTCCAACTTTTATGCATAAATTTCTTGAAAACTTTCTATGAACGAGTATGCATATTGCAAAACGATTACTTGGAAAAGAAAAAAACATTAAATCGAACCAGTAGTGTAGGAGATATTGAAAAAAACAGCTTTTCACAAGTTGAATATCTTCTAAACTGCTTATCCGATTCCGCCCATCCACAATCCTATCCTGTAATATTATCTGAGCTACATTCATTAGATTTCAACCTCTTATCTCAATTTTTAAGGGAGTTATTGTGTGCACGTAGATTTTATCGTAACGAGATCGATTACGCACTCCGCGCGCGTATCAACACGATAGATCCATTACGATTTTTGCGCAACATTTCGAACTCACGCACGAATAAAGTTATTAGAAAAACCTATTGAATTCGTTAGAAAATTCTATTAAATTTCTATTAAACTTTCGATTAGTTTTTGGCCGATTCTATTGACATGTGCAATAGAAAACATTCAATAGAAAAAGTCAACAGAATTCGATTTTTCTATATAATTTATTCTTTTCATATATTTTCTATAGAATTTGCTCGACTCAAATTTTCTAAGTTTTTTCAACTTCCCAACCCGAAGGGAGGAAGTTATTGTAATGACCCCGGAAATCGAATGTGAAATTTCCATGATTTCTCCACATTTCTCGGCCTCTCGAATCATCCTGAAACGTTTTTGAAGACATGTCCGTGTGTGTGTGTGTGTGTGTATGTACGTATGTGACCAAAATTTTGACCAACGATATCTTCTGAAGAAATGAAGCGATTCGACATTTTTTTTTTCAATCGATGCGTGTCTGTGTAACTTAGAACTGATTAGATTTTGAGACTGATCGCCTCAGCGGTTTGGTAGTTATTCGCATAAAACTTGTGAAAAAATGAAAAAAATGATTTTTTTTTTGAAAATTTACCAATTTTACATAGAAAAAAAGATGGGACTTGATTCCTGCTTATGCGATCGATGCATCTATATGTAATTCGATTTTAAGTGGATGCTGAGTAAAATAGTCTCAGCCGTTTTCTAGTTGTTTTTCATTCGCCGTATTTTTATGTAACGTATACTTGAACCTGATTAGATTATGGAAACGATCGTCTCAGCGTTTTTTCAGTTTTTTCCAAAAGAACGTCTGGAAAAAAGTCGAAAATTTGCTTTATTTCGTAAACGAGATCATTACACCGTGCATAACCATGTGATTTGAAGTTTTTTTGTTAGAAACGATGACTCTTGATATAACCCACAAATTATGGAATTCTGGAAGACATTAACTCAGCAATTCATCACAATTTTCGATTTTTCGGAAATGAATGGACGAAAAGGACTTGGTCGGGCAGTTATTGGTTCGACCCGTAATGGGTCACATCCAATTTCACCCACCCCTACCGGTCATACCCCAGAGTGAGCGCGCGAGCGGGCCTGATTTTTCATTCTATTTTCCTTTTCTTCTCACCAAAAAAATCAAACGAAAAACTTAGAAAATTTGAACCGAGGAAATGCTATAGAAAGTATCTCAATAGAATAAGTTATACAGAAAACTTGAATTCTATTGACTTTTTCTACTGAATATTTTCTATTTAACATTTTAATAGAATCGGCCAAAAACTAATAGAATAGTTCAATAGAATGTTCTAACGAATTCGATAGGTTTTTCTATTAAATTTTTTCGTCCGTGCTGAAGTAACATATTTAAGTCATTTCCTTTTTATTATAGATAAATAATAAACATGTTCGCATCATCATGAGTTATGTGTCCTGAAGCTTTGACAATTTATTATTGCGAAAACATCAAAAAATTTCGAAAAAATGAAAGCGCGACGCATGTTGGCATCTCCTTTTGATTATAGAATATAGATAACAAACATGTCCGCATCATCATGAGTTAAATGTCCTGATGCTTTGACAATTAATTATTGCGAAAAGACGAAAAAATAAATGCGTGATAACTTTTGCCATTTCCCTTTTATTATCGAAAGAGAAAAATGTCAATTATTATCAAACTGTTTCTAGTTACGTAGGGATATTGTGCCGTAATTTGATTGTTTTTTTTATTGGTATTTTTTGTAAGGAATATTTTGACGTAAAAAAATTCAATTCAGTCATGTAGTTTTTAAGATATTGCAAAAATATTTTTGAGAAATTGCTGTATCTAAAAAAATACTTGACCGATTGAGCTGAAGTTTCTCCAAGAAGTAATCCTAAATAATAGAATTTATGTGATGAAATTTCAAAAAATCAGCTTCAACTCTACTTTTTTTGTGAACATTCATAAAAAATTTCCGAAAAATCTGCACGTACATACAGACATTGTCTAAAAACATCATACCTTTACGTGTCATAACATTCTACATCATTTCCAGGTAAAATTAGAAGATCGTAAGAATGAACGATTACATAGCTCCCATTCAGAAGCAAAAATTGAGTGAAGAAAAAAAATCGACAATAAAAAGACGACATTCACATCTTCCATCGAAAAAAAACTTTTATACTAACGTTAAAACGTGCAGAAACGCTACTGATTGTTCCAAGACAATCGCCAAAAAACTAGTGGACTTTTCAATAGAATTCCAATCGAATTTTCTAGGAAATCTATTAAATTTTTTGTACGTCGACTCCGAATATATTCGCAAAATAATATGTGATTAAGTTTTAGATGTCTTTCGTTCAACAGATAATGAAAATAACATTGGAGTTTGCAGTAAATCTCCGTCTCTTCCGTTTTGAGAAGATCATTTTTCAAATACTCACGCATATGGTTGAACCTTATGAGCCACCGTAAGCACAAAATTGGCATTGATAAGTACTCCAGAGCCAATGTACATATTGTCAAGTGTCAAAAGAGCCACTTGCCAAGGATAAGCACCGTATCTCGCGGTTCCAGTAGGTTGAGGCGAGGCATTAGTGACTTTCCGTCTACCACAGGAACTCGTAAAACCACCTGAATTTCCGCAGCACCACACTTGTCCCGCAGCGCAATTTTGCGCTCCCTAGAAATATATGCGTCATTGTTTAAGCGCTTCTTCGCTATTTGTTAGCATGTAGCTCTGCCGAAAAATCATAACTCAATAATATAAAAAAAATCATTGACAGACCGCGAAAAACTTCTAGAAAATAGAAAATTGAAAAACCTAGCGCATTTGCGGATAACTTTTATTGAAATTCTGTGGTGACGTATCAAAAAATCTATCAGTTTTTTCGTTTCTATTCAAAATTGTCTATGAAAATATTCATATAATAGATGCAAAAGATAAAGATCAATAGATTTCAATTTTCCTGTTCAATCTCTTTTGTCCATCACTTTTTTGTAGTAATATCGCAAGAGCTTCAAAAATATCGATTAATTCCCAAAGGTTTCGTTGCAAAGGAATGAATTTTAGTAAACATTACTAAGAACTAGACCTTTTTTTTATTCTCGGATTTTTCCCGCAAGATTTCAATATCACAGGGTACTGGAACCCAGATATTGTTACTGAAAACTATAATTTTGTCGTTGCGGAAGGTGTCGAATATTATACCGGATAAAAATCCCGAGTGCGCAGCACACTTAATTTTTTTTTTGAAATTACCGGTACACTGGAAATTTTTATCGAATTTAATTACCATTGAAATTTCAAGGAATTTCGTCATTAAAAATTCAGAATTTTGTAGAAAAATCAAAGAGAAATGTCAATTTCAGTTCCATTTTTCCCTGAAAATGAATAAAAAACCAGAACATTCCGGGAAATATTTCCTTGAATTTTCAGAAGTCACACTGAATGCGATTTAGGGGAAACAAATTCATGAAATTTGCGATTTCACTGCAAATTCAATGTAATTTGGCACTGAATATTCATATTAGATTGGAAATGCAAATAAATTAAGGAATTTTCGTCTTTATGTTACTTAAAATTCTGGAATTTTACTGAATTTTCAGTGAAATCTGAAATTTGATGATTTTCTCCTAAATTGCATTCATTATCACTGTCCTGAAAATTAGTAGTCAACTGTCCATGAAATTTCATTCTTTTTCTAACAGTGGATAAAAGATTTTTCTACAAAAAGTAAATACACTTTTTTTTTCTAAAAGAACTTTGAAGAAAATATTCAATTTATGTTTGTTTGACTCTTGGGAGGATAGCACTCGTCTTCGGCGAGTGTTACACACCTTCCACGGCTTAAAAACGCTTTTACGCACTCGTCCACGGAGAGAAATTTTCTAGAAAAATTCTAGTACGAGTACTGGAAAAAATCACAATCCACCGGCTGTGAAAAATTCTAGTGCTATTAAGGTAAAATTTCTTGGTATTTCTGGTAAAATTTCTAGGGATTTCTGTGAAATTTTTATTGGGGAAAAATTCACGTTTTCCCCAATAAAATTTCTAGTGCCGGCACTGAAATTTTTTCCTGGTCGTCACTTTGCGCCTCTTTTTCCGTGCTAGCACTAGAATTTATGTAAAAAATTTCTCTCCCTACATCGAAATATAGCCCGAGAGCTTCAAACGAATTCAATAATATTCTTTGATGGCTTCATTGCAGACAAATGTAAGTGGTAAGTCGCGCAACTTTGAAAATCCTGAGCGCTTACACTGAAGTGTATTTCGATTCGAATACGTAATAGTATATCGTACCGAGTGCAAAAAAGTGTTTTTTGACGAGTGCGAGGTTTATATCACGAGCCGAAGGCGAGTGATATAATCCCACGAGCTAAAAAACATTTTTTCACGAGTTACGAACAATATTTTTCATCACAATGTGGCGGAAATTGGACTTTTAGGCAAGCGGAGCGTGCCGAAAAGTTCACTTTTCGTCACAGCGTGATGAAAAAGTGTTTTTTGGCCCGCGGAAGGTGCAGCTCGCCGAAGGCGAATACTACCCTCCCAAGGGTCAAAGACCATTTCTCTCACGAGTGTTGAACCTTATTTTTGATCATAATGTGTGCAAAGTGAGATTTTGCACTCGGGCCCCGTACGTAAAATTTCACTTTACGCATAAATGATAAAAAAATTTGAGAATTATTTCAGAATGCGCCCCGAAAAGTGAACTTTATAGGCAGGTATCACGAAAAGAAAAAAATGAAAAAATTTATCCATAAATGTGCTAGGAATCTTTAAATATCTGTGTTTAGTTGTGAATCTGAAAAATAGACTCTTGTGAATGATCATTTCCACCAACCCATGATATTTAAAAGCGATTGAATTATGAATCTTCTGCTTAATAATCGAACAAACGTGCGTACCGAATTGACTATTCTTATGTCGATCCCTGGAGATACAACACAAGTTCCAGCAGGCACACATCTGCATCCTGGCTGAGGAGATGCAGCAGTTGTAGCTATAGGAAGAATCATGGCAAATTATTAAATCAGTAGTATATTCTCAGACCCGCGCGGGAAAGTGGTCGTTCCGTGTGAACGGTGTTTTGCGCTCGTCGAAGACGAGTGCTGCCCTCTCGCGGTCAAAGAACACTTCTCCCACGAGTATCGAAGCCTATTTTTCATTACACTGTCGGTCAAACACCGTTTACATACCATGTGATGAAATAGTATATTTCGATACGAGTGAGACGGAATTTTCATGAGTGTGAAGTTGCGGATCACACGAGCTGAAAATTCCCGTGACGAGATGGCCGATGTTTTAAAAAACATCGATTACCGAAGAATCGATGTTTTACAAAACCATTGATGTTGTGAATCAATTTTTCTGGAAAAACACCAATTATTTAAAAAATCGATGTTTTTCTCATTACACAGAAAACAAAACAAATTGTTCAAAATAATTTTTTTCTTTTCGTTTTTATGGAAAAAATTATATTGAATATTTTCCGTGGGGACGTTAGCTGCAACAATTGTTAAAAATTGAAATTAAGAAAAAATTTCAAAATTTCAAAATAAAAAAAACAATAGACGACTGGACTTGTTCTCTTATCATTTATACCATAACTACTGCAGAAAATAATAACTTCTGATTACGGATAAATTATTATTTTGTTTATTCTCAATCAATCAACATTATTATTCGACAAAAAAATGAAAAATTGTTAGCTTGGTCAGAAACATCGATGTTTGGAAAAAAGAATCGAAAATCGATTAATCGACCGTTGAAAACATCGAATGAAAAACATCGATGTTTTCAATCAATCGACAAACATCGTCCATCCCTATTCCCGTCTCACATGTCTCGAACTAGTATATTTCATCACGCTGTGACGAAAAGTGAACTTTTCGGCACGCTCCGCGTGCCTAAAAGTCCAATTTCCGCCACATTGTGATGAAAAATATTGTTCGTAACTCGTGAAAAAATGTTTTTTAGCTCGTGGGATTATATCACGAGCCGAAGGCGAGTGATATAAACCTCCCACTCGCCAAAAAACACTTTTTTGCACTCGTTACGAAATATACTATTTCGTAACTGCTGCTACGTTCACCTCGTGCCGAAAAGTGCCTTTTCACGGACGGATATACATATTTTAATTGATTGAGATAGAAGACACCCGGAGGAATATTTTGAAAACTAAAAAAATATTAAAGACCTTTGGATGGTTTCCGAGATATTTGCGAAAAACGATTAAGAAAAAAATAGCAATTCTGCAAAACGGCGGGGTTGTTCGGGCTGAAATTGAGCACCAAGTTAGTCCTGATTAGTATCTATAATCTGATAGGATTAAAGTTGTTTTGGAATTATTTTTGCTTTTTAATTCTTCGATTTTATAAAAATTGATTATCGGCTCCACACCCGCACACGTACATTGAGTTCTTTCAACAAAGTTGTTTTTTGAGAGGTGTGTCTTTACTCATGTCAAGAAACTCGTGGCTTGAAAATTTTGAAGAGCAAAATATCTTGCAGTAAGAAAAAAAATGCTCCCCAAGAAATTTTGTACTTGTTCTAAAGATGAGAATAAATTCGTGATGACTAGGAAGTGATTTATCATGCCAATTAAAATTGAATTAATTCATTTGATAGTTCATTTTTTAGACTCAATTCTAAAATATTTTAATGCAAAAACCACTTGAATTGATTTGAGAACTCGCTTTCTTGATATGAACCAATTGCCCTCATCTTTCGGACAAATATAAAATTTCTTGGCGTAAGACTGTCTTTTCTTAGTGTGAGATATTGTGCGCTTGGTAATTTTCAAAACGTGAATTTCTTGATACAAGTAAAAATGTACTTCTCAAAAAACTGCACGTATGAAAAAATTGAATAGAAAACCTTTGCGAATTCGCTAGAAAATTCTGTTGGAATTCTCTAGAAATGTTATAGGGATTGTATTAAAATTCTAGAGAATTCTCGTTAAACTTCTATTTGTTTTTTGCGCAGATTCTATTGGATATTTGATAGGAAAAAGTCAATAGATTTCGATTTTTCTGTTTAAATCTTTCTCTTGAGATTTTTTTTATTAAAATTATTGGGCACGGATTTTTCAAGTTTTTCCCGCTATATCTTATTTTGTTTTGAATTGCAGCATCCGAGTGAAAAAAAATTAAAAAATTCATGCGCAAGTAGTCTTATAGAAAAAAATCCAAGGGAATATTCATATAGAAAAAAAGAAATCTATTCATTTTTCTCTATCAAATATCTCCTAGAATCAGCGCACAAAACAAATAGAATTTTAACGAGAGCTCTCTAGAATTTTAATAAAATCCCAATAGAATTTCTATAGAATTCCAATAGAATTTCCTAGCGAATTCGGTGAGTTTTTTTATTGAATTTTCTATTTTCATACGTGTCTAGTTTTTTCAGTGTACACATGGTGGTCAAACATCTTATTTTTACGTTTTAGACCATTCTACATCATTTCCAAGACAAATTAAAAAATGTAAAAAATTAACGATTTCAACGCTTCCATTTGAAATTTTAAAAAACACTAAAAAGTTAAGTTCCTCCATAATAATAAAGGAAACATACTTGAAATATCAAAATAAATTGTAGTCGTCTGCGTGAAGACCTGTTGTACAAGTATTATAAAAATCACCAAAAACTTTACATCAAAGTTACACATTTTTCTACGCATTATTTTCAACGATGTTGAATCACCTACTCCGAGTAATTTCCAAACACCACTGACTCAATGACGGAACGTTGGCGAATTTATATGCTCACTGAATTTACGTCAAGGGTAACGAGACGTCACCTAATATTTTCATTACGAAATCTAGTTAATGGTTTTTTTTGTGACACTAAAGTGTGAACAGGTGAATTAACGTGAACATCCAGCCGAGAAATGAATAATAGTGATGGCCTTCTCCAATACCCAGAGTTTCCCTGTACCTAATGCGAACAAGAGGGGAACGTATACATCATACATTCTATGAAATCAGTGTTGGATCGAGAAAAACGTACAAATTACTTCCTATTCTAATTGTTAGGTTTTTTTCACTCCCCAGCGTTTTGTCTATTTTTTGCTGCCCAATATCAATCTTTTCATAGTTTTTTTTTAACGAATTTATAACTGCGATCAGTGATAAAGAACGGATGAGCTGGTGACAGTAATTACAAATCATTCGTGTGACGAATTTGGAAATTACGTAGGGATATATGGGAATGGTTTTATCTGGAACGAAATGAGAGAATCCCTGAGGCGTGAAGAGTTGAAAAATGGTCTGTGGGGATATTAAATAAGTGTTTAAGAACAATTGGATGGAAACAGCAATTTTTATTTTTACCCAAGTATTTCCGTTTCATCTAACAGTTTAGTTTGGAAATGTCACAGAACGGGTAAGCAATTTTGTGAAAACGTAACACTTGGAAAAATGGGCAAAGGTACACATCATCACCCTCACGTGAAAACCTAGGTTGCTATTAATGAATTTAAACCTCTTTGAGTCATCTCATATTATCGAATGGATGCTCACATAGATCAACGGGTGTCTCCAACCGGCACCTTTCCCTCTAAAGGCATGTTTATATAAATATTATTCTTTTTTTTATTAAGGTATTCAAATTAAATTCAAAGTGCTTGGTAAGGCGAATCAATCAAGCCCTACCAGCACTTAGCATGACCCAGGTTTCGCGACGGGGACGCGGCTGGTTCGAACCCCAAAAAACCCATATCGATAGAGGATGGCAAAGTGCATGTTTACCGAAAAATGATCAAAAATTTAATAATTTTAAAATTGCTTTTATCTCTGAAAACTGGCATTGAGTCACTATAGGAATTCAATAAAATTCTTTAGAAGAAGCGCTCCTAGAATTCGATTCTAATGAATGTTAAGAAGCGCTTACCTACATTTTCCATCTGTGCTACCCTTACTAAACATATTCAGTAGAAATATATGAAAGGAAAAGAAATTATTCGAAAGTTTCTTAAATTTATTTTATCAATTACATTAAAAAGAATTTTTTTTCACTTTTTCATTAATTTGTTTCTTTGCGAACTTGTCCATGCATGCACTGAGAAAAAACATTTCTAATATCTGAAACATATTTTCTTGAGACAAGTAATTTTTCTTCAATTGTCATTTTCTCGCAAATGAATCGTCAATCTTCAAGTATTTATTATTTTCATAATTTTTTTGTTATGCAGTTCCAACATTTCGATATCTAATATATTCATGATATAATGCGCAACGATAGTAATAAATGAGTATTTATTCGCGTTTCGTGAACCGTAAACATTCTGAGATCTAATCCAGTGAAAATAATTTACTTCTCTCAAGTAAATTTGGTCTACATATTAGAAAATTTTTCTCTGTGTGTAACTTCTGCCAGAACATTGCAGAAGACGAGGAAACCCTTTGACGTATTCAATTCAACTGATGGTCACTGTAACATTTGACACTTTAGGGATTATGTTGAGACTAAACAAATGTTTTTTCTCCTTTTCTAAAAAAAAGATATAACACAGAGGAAATCCAAAATGATGGGTTCGCTAGATTAGAAGATATCTTATCTGTTTTATTGATAACCAATTCATGTTCTTCGTAGGTTTTTTCGCAGCCTACAGTATGGTCTATGAACCTTGTTACTCGTATTTACAATTTTCATAGCAGTTTCATAAATCATGATATTACTATTTATTGTCCTGGGATTCGTGGAAATTAATTCTGTCAATGGTAAATAAAACATTCAATGATTTGCTTTCCGTTACAACGATATTAGTTGGATAGCAGCTTAGTATTTCGATTTCCGGTTGACAGTAGCTTGAAAATGATCTTGAAAAGAGAAAATACAATCATCAATTGATAGTGAAGTGAAACTCTTTGGATGATTCTCCTTGAAATGAAAGGGAAAGTGAATTATTCCGATCATCTAGTAAACCCCTCTGTTACCTTTTCATTCTCTCGTTAGTGTCTCATTTCATGGATTTGGAATCAAGGTAAATGATACAATTTCTGATCAGAAGTTGTATCTGATCATGCAACCGCGTTTAGCAGTCTCTGCCAGTTTTTTTCCAAATTTATTGTCAACCGCGGAAAGGATGATATTCCAACTTTGATTCTCAGTCGAAATAATGTAATTAATATCCCCAAAAACTCACCAAATAAATAATGAAACGTCATGAGTGCGCCACCACCTAGGAAAAAATCGTATAGAATCTTTCTATACGGACTGTGTATAGCATTTCTATAGGTTTTTCGTATATGATATTCGGATATTTCTATACGAAAATTTCCTATACGTTTCATTTCTATACGAATTTCTACACGAATTGTATAGGGAATTTTTGTATAGAAATATCCGAATATCATATACGAAAAACCTATAGAAATTCTATACGCAAATCGTATAGAAACTTTCTATACGATTTTTTCATACGTGACAATGCCATTTTCAGTGTTTCGTTGTGAAATGAGCTGTATACCTGAACTTCCATCACTGATATTTCACAATGTAAGTGACAAATTGGTTTTCAAATTGTTAATATCAAACCTTGAACTATTCACAAAAGGCTAAAAGGATTAAGGATATTTAGCCATTTTCAGCAAATTTTATTTTTTCATGTTCAAGGAAAATTCTATAATTTTTTAATAGAAAAAACTATCGAATTCGTTAAAAAATTCTATTGAATTTCTATTGAGCTGTCCTATTAGTTTTTGGCCGATTCTATTGAAATGTTCAATAGAAAATATTCCGTAGAACAAGTCAATAGAATTCAATTTTTCTATATAACTTATTCTATTGAGATATTTTCTATAGAATATCTCAATAGAATAAGAGTAATAGAATATTTTCTTAGAATATTTCCTCAGCTCAAATTTTCTAAGTTTTCTCGTTTGATTTTCTTCATGAGAAGAAAAGAAAAATAGAATGAAAAAACTTAGAAAATTTGAGTCGAGTAAATTCTATAGAAAATATATGAAAAGAATAAGTTATATAGAAAAATCCAATTCTGTTGACTTTTTCTATTGAATGTTTTCTATTGAACATGTCACTAGAATCCGTCAAAAACTAATAGAAATTCAATAGAATTTTCTAACGAATTCGATAGGTTTTTCTATTAAATTTTTTCGTGCGTGACATGAAACTAACTTCTTTGATGTTAGAAAAAAATTAATCGCAATAGTCTGGCCAGAAATAAATGGACAAATTTTTCTTGATGCACGGATTCTTATGGGGTTTATGTTGAAATTTATAATTCACCTACTAGAAGACTCCAAAAATAAAAACTAAAGTAGAAGGTAATGTACAAAACTATACTGAATCAAATGGCCAGAGATAAATTTGGGCTACCCAGGCAAAAGGAGGAAATATTTGAAAGATTCTATCCCATATAAGCGTTTGGTGCATTTTGTTCAATCCATTTCTGAATAATGAACGTGGGTTGGTGGATTGAAATTTTTATCAAGATTAAGGGAATAACTTCATCTTTCAGTTGAAAACAAAATTTTTTTTTTCAATTGCGATTTTGGTTAAACATCCTTAGTAATGGAAACTCGATCAGAATTTATTTTTTGACACTGCTCATCTCGTATCGAAAAGTGCCTTTTCGTTTACTTGTAACTTGGAATTTTCAGCTCGTGTAATTGGCATCCCTCGGCTTCGCCTCGGGCCGCCAACTTCACACTCATGAGTCCGTCTCACTCGTATCGAAATATACTATTTCATACAATAAATATAATGATCAAAAATTTTCACCCGAATTCTAAAATTCTCGTTACAAAGTTCGATCAGTGTAAATATTCACATCGTTTTCTTCTCGCCTTGATCATCATGTTGATTACAGTAATTATTTTTTCCAATCGGATTTCGATCAATCAGAGCGCAGTATGTGAGGCTACCCGACAGTTTTACTTCGGATATTTACTCCTAGTTTTTGAATATTTCGCAGTACCCGAGTGAAAATTTTGATCAGGTTGGCTGATCAGAAGTAAGACAGAAAAAAAATACTGGTCCGCCTTTCCTGATCAGGCGTTTCCGATAAGTATTCAGCCAGTTACTGACGAAACTATCTGGATCCATCGAGACTCAGTCTTTCTTGATCGTATTCTGACCACTCGAACAGTTCGGATCCGCACATTTGGATGAGATTTGGCTCCTCAACAGCGTTACAAGTTCTTGTCAAAAACTGACCTTGTTCAGTTGTTTCGGATCAGTTTCGGACTCCAGCCTGATTTAAATTTCCACTCGGGTAGCTCTTCATTTTTTCGACTCATTCCAGATTGAATCTAGTATTTATTATTTATATTTAAGTGTTATTACTATGTCTATATAGCCGACCGTAATGGTTAAATGAATTAGGTGTTGCTTCGGTTAGGACTTGGATGGGAGACCGCTTAGGAACACCCTCGCCCAAAAATTTCGGAAGGTAGCTAGGCTCGGTGTGGTGACCTAATGTGCCCCTCTAGTCAGTGTAACAGGAGGGCACGTTAGGGCTTTGCACAATGGGTCGGCTGTACGACTAGGGTTTTCCATGGTTTCCCGTGTACTGCTAACCCACATGGGGTACAGTTAAGAGTAAGATGGCCCATGGCAATGCAGATAAAAATCAGAAGAGAGAATTGGGAGAGGCAAGGCAGACGAATGGGGAGCCTATAAAACCGTAATGGTAGTAGGGAAGAAATATGAATAAAAAAAAAATACCATGCCCAGATACAATATGTGTGTGTGTGTGTGTATGTGTATGTGTGTTTTTTTTTTTTTTTTTTTTTTTTTTTTTTTTTTTCGTCTGTTGGAGAATGCATTTACGCACGACCACCTGAGGGAGGGTACAGTGGCTTCCCTCCGTCAAGTGAGTGTGGGACTCGGACAGGAATTGTCAATACCCACTAAACTCCCATCAGACAAATTCACTAACCTTTAAATCCCTCGCGGCACCACCGTTAAGTATTACTTCGCGAGGGAGGTCTTAGCTGTATGCTCTTCCAACTTATGAATCTCATGTACGTCCCCCTAACCTGCAAAGATGTTAAGTGTGATTAGGAGGTTCCAAGAAAGATTTCTCACCTATAATGCAGCTTTCCGCTTGCGTTCCTCGTCTCTGAGCTCTTTCAAGACTTGTGTTGCAAAGTTGCTCGTTGCTTCCCAGGCTGCTTGTGATGACAGCATCGCTTCCGTCAATACTTCCGGGAGGACTTTCCTCCCCAGTTGATATTCCCACTCATTCCGGGCTTCGTCGAAACGGGGGCACTTGAAGAATACGTGATCTGCATCTTCGAATTCCCCAGCACAATGAGGGCACTCGGCAGAATCTTCATGCTTAAATTTATGAAGATAGGCCCTGAAGCATCCATGTCCTGAAAGCATTTGGCAAAGATAATAATTTACTTCTCCATGCTTTCGTCTTACCCAACTGTCCACCTGGGGGATCAAGCGATGTGTCCATCTCCCCTTTGTAGAACTATCCCACTTTAGCTGCCAGCGTATCAGGCTATTCTTACGCTCCTCGGTCGCCAGCTCTTCGGGACTCAGCAATTCTGCTTTCCTACGCCAGTACAAGGATGTTCGCTCTTCAGCTAGTACTTCCATCGGTAACATTCCTGCGATGACGCAGGCCGCGTCCTCAGAAACCGTCCTGTACGCACTTGCGACTCTAAGTGCGCTAAGTCGATAAACCGGTGCGATCTTACGTCGTGCTTCTTGTAGGTGTAATACGTCTCCCCAGATGGGGATAGCATATGTGAGCACTGAAGTGATCACTGAACACAACAGTGCGCGTCTCCTTTGCTTGGGTCCTCCGATGTTAGGCATAAGACGAGATAGAGTGGCTCTAACGCTGGATGCCTTGGTCTCCACATGTTCCGCTTGCGACTTGAAATTCAGTCGTGCATCTATCATCACCCCTAGGTATCGAATAGACGGCTGGGAGGTGATTTCACAAGGCCCCACTTGCAGAGTGATGGTCTCAATTTTTTTCCTGCTGGTGATCAATACTGCTTCGGTCTTGTGCTCCGCAAGCTTCAGACCTACTGAGTCCATCCAGCGGCGAATCCTCTCGAATGTGATGTCAAAGGTGAGGTTGATCTCCTCCAAGTACTTTCCCACGATGACCACTGCTACGTCGTCCGCAAATGCCACAAGTTTAGTCTCTTGCGGCAATTCGAGTTTCAGCAGCCCATCATACATGATGTTCCATAGCAAGGGGCCGAGTACTGAGCCTTGGGGCACACCTCCAGTCACCATGTACTCTTCAGGGCCATGCTCCGTGTCATACTTGAGGATCCTTTCGCTGAAGTAGCTGCGGACTATCTCACACAAATATCCTGGTACATTGAACTTTGCAAGGGCCTTCATGATACAGTCCCACCGGGCTGAGTTGAAGGCGTTCTTGATGTCCAGGGTGGCTACTAGGCAGTATTTCTTGGTGCCATTGAGCCACCTCTTCCCTGAGATCGCTTCTCTGGCAGTTTCGACGACGAGATTGACGGCATCCAAAGTTGATCGACCTTTCCGAAAACCATATTGGTTTCCAGCTAGCATAGGTTCGACTGCTGCTTCAATTCTTTGGTGGACGATACGTTCGAGAATCTTGCCACCGGTATCAAGCATACAGAGGGGACGATAAGATGAAGGGTCATCCGGTGGCTTATCTCCTTTCGGAAGTAGTACTAGCCTCTGTTGCTTCCACATGGCAGGAAAAATTCCTTCTACGAGGCACTCATTATATACATCCAAGAACTGCTCCGGTATCGTCTGAATGGCTGTCTTCAGTGCGACGTTCGGAATCCCATCCAGGCCAGGGGCCTTGTTGTTTCCTACTCTCGTACACGCCTCCAACAGCTCTTCTCTAGTAATCTTTGGTACGTTGCCAACCTGTTGACGTTCTGAAGAATTACAGAGTTCCTGTTGGTGGGGGAACAGTACCTTCACGATCTTCTCCATGAGCACAGGACACGATGGTGACTGCATTGGTTGACTTTTGAGTCGTGTCATCACCACCTTGTAGGGTCTCCCCCACGGATCGTTTTCCACCTCAGATAGGAGGTCGCTCCAGCATTGCTTCTTACTGCGCTTTATAGCTTTGCTGAGCTTTCGCCGTGCCTTCTTATACATCATCTCCAACTCATCAAAGTTCGGTTTTTGACGGCCTCGCTGAGATTGTCTCCTAGCTGCATTGCATTTTTTCCGCAGACCGGCTATGGATTCATTCCACCAGTACACAGGCGTGTGTGTGTGTGTGTGCGTGTGTGTGTGTGCGTGCGTGTGTGTGTGTGTGTGTGTGTGTAGTACCTATTACCATTGAGGACCTTACAATGCTCCGTAGTGACTATTACCATGTCCATGGTAATAATTACAAAACTTTGATGATGTTTACTATGTGCAGATTTCGACCTAGCAATCTTTACTATTTTGTTTTCCCCATGTATCCATAGAAGCATGAAATAACGAAGAAGTAGTGCTAGAAGTTATATTTCTTGCTTGCACAGAGACTAATTTTTTTTTGAAAATACTAAATCGATTTTTGCAATAAAAATTGTCAATCTTGACGCACGCTTCGCATGTTTGGCACACAAAAATCCTTTTTTGACCATTTTTAATAAACCATTTATTGACACAAGTAAGACTTGCTTGAGAACTCGACTGTTTTTCTTTCAGGGTAGGTATTTACTAATCGAATTCTGCAACGAGATTTTTGCAAATATCGATCGACTGGGCTAAACAAATGCCAGATAATAAGTCACGCACCCTCTGATGAATAACTATTGTGAAGTTAGAATTCGGCTGATGGTTTATCATCAACATGCTTATGCAGAGAAAATAAAATTTGATGGGTTTCTCACTGTTTTGAGCCTTTTGTTAATCGTTTAAGGTGTGATGTCAACACAAAAAAAAATTACTTTTTACCAGTACCGACCGGTACTTGAGGGAAATTCACTTTTGGAAAGTCCTAAAAATACTCGTCCCAAATACGTTTTGTGTCCTTGGGTGAAGTACCACAGCTGCCGATCGAGTAGAAATGGTACTGGGAGGAAGTAGCTTCACTACTTTCTGCCAGTACTTTTAGTACTTTTCACAATTACTAGTACAAGTACTAGTACTTTTTACAAGGTACTAGTAAAAAGTAATTTTTCAACTTCTCTCAAGTACTTTTAGGACTTAATTTCAGTACTTCCAATTGATTACTTTATTGAGAAAAGTGAATATTATTACCGGATAGAATGGGCTTTCTTATGCGTTTTTGTAAATAGAAATGTTCAGCAGAAGACATTTTGTAGAAAAAAATCAATAGATTGCGATTTTTATGAATGTTTTCGAGAATTATTGGTATGCTTTCCAACCTGCAAAATTTCAATTTTGTTGAGGTGTTTATGTTTTATGTTGCTATCAACATTTAAAAGGCTTCGAAAAATTGTTTTCAATTTCTTTTCAATTTGATTACTCACAAAAAGGGAATTATTTGGATTTTTGAATTTTTTGCAAAATTCGTTTTTCAGAAGAGGTGGAAAAACATTTTTGAATTATTATACTCAACTTATATTTAGTTTATTTGGTACTTTTGAAAAGAACCAGCCAGGTATACAGTACAAGTAATTTTTTTACTTGTCCCAAGTAACAAAAGTACTTGTGACAAGTACTGAGGTACTTCTCACCAGTACACAGATACTTGACGCATTGTACTTGCATCAAGTTGTTTTGTAACTTCGAGGAAGTACAGAAATGTGCCTTTTTCCCAGAAACCCTTGGTACTGGGTACAAGTACTTTTTCTACTGATCAAAAATAATTTTTTTCTTGGGTGAATCATTTTAATACTAATTTGTCACTTTTATTGTGAAATATCCGTGACGGCACTCCAGGTAAATGGTTAGCACAACAAAACACTAAAACTGGCAGTTTGACGGACTCATGAGGTTTCATCGTTTATTCTACTATGGTCATGATTGATATTGCCCAGAATGAGATCCCTTCTACATTCTCCATATTTCCATAGAATAGCTCAATTCATTTGGTTGCCTAATCATATATCTATGAAATCCATTTTAGATTGGGAAAAACGTGCAAATTACGCCTTAGTGTAATTGCTGATATTCTTTCTCCCCAGCATTTTGTATATTTTTTACTGTCCATTCTATACGTTTCAATTGCTTTTTTTGTCTTCTAAATTTATAACTGTAATCAGTGGTGAGGAACGAATGACTCGACCACAGTAATTGCAAATTATTGGTGTGATGAATTTAGAAAATACGTAGGCATTTGTGGAAATTATGTTTTTCGAGGAACGAAATTGGGGAATCCCTGAGACGTGAAGCATTAGAGGAGGGGGAATGGGTATATTTCAGAAGCGTTTGGGACCATTTCGATGGAACCAACAATTTTTATTTTTAGCAAAGTATTTCCGTTTCATCTATAAGTTTAGTTTAGAAATGTCACTGAATGGTTAAACAATTTATCTATTGGTGAATTATCTTTTTAAAAGTTATTAAAAATTTATTATGTTCGATGTGATGGCACATACGAAACAATTTAGCGCTCAGCTTGTCCATTAAATTTTTTCGCATGTTGGGAAATTCTCTTTGATTTTGATTAAGATTCTATTAACAATTCCGTTGGCTTTTTGCCAATTCTGTTGAAGAAATCCGCAATTACTCCACACGATCTTTTAAGAGTAGATCGTACCGAAATTTTCGGAAAAAATAGGAATTATGATTTCTTCAATTTTTCTGTAGTCGAACATAAAGTTATTGATTTCTTTTGTATTCATTCGATCCCCATAAAAACTGAATCACATAAATATATTACCTCAATTAATTTGGTCGTCTAATCGCAGCATTAGTCTTTATTTACCAGCAAAACGTATCTCATCCATTGAGAAATATCAAAAAGAGGGGTCAATCAATCAAAATAATGATATCATCAAAGACTGTTAACAATCTACTGAGATACGTATTCTCTGCATTGAATCTCTATTGCATCGTATTTTATTCAACTGAAGATACTCCAATTATACCTGAGACCCATGAAAAAAAAATCTACAGAAAATTCTAGCGCCGTCATTGTGAACTCCTATTTGATTTGTTTTTCTTCCTAATATTTACAACAAGTTTGTTGTCTTTGTAGCTTGTTTCGTTGAATAGAAATAAAAATGACGAAATTAGCTTGAAGTCATTAAATTTAGACTAGTTCGTATGAAACTTAATGTATTGAAACCCACTAATAGAACTCTTGTAGCGTATTTCCCAGATCTCGACGCTTCGCGTCTCGTGTCTAATTCAGCCGGTTTCAGGCTTCGTGACATAAAATTTTGTTCAGTACTTGTTGGGAAATTTCGTCCTTAACGTGTGTGGTTACATCACTCGCAGTACTTGTGATGTGTGTACTTTCGTTAAAGACGAAATTGCCCCACATGTACTGAAATATACTATTGCACCACTTTTACCGATTTTTTGATCCTTCTTTCATCTCACCTTCAGGTTTGATATGTTATCACTGCACAGGCGTATCTCCATATGACTCCTGCGTCTTAGACAACGGAGTGGCCGTCGGATGTGACAAGAGATGGTGCACAATTATACGTCGAGAATTTCACGATCCACCTGGTACCCTAGTATACTTCCTGCGTACCTGTCAAAATACCCCGCAGTATATAAATGCGGAAGTCAATGACTCCAACTACAGAACCTTCTACCATGCCTGCGCATCGGATCTGTGTAATTCAGGTGAAGGGAGACTCACGCCTAATTCAATAGCCCCAATAAAGGAGGAACAGGGCAGAGTCTTGGTAGTTCCAGGAATTACATCCAATGCGTCATCGGTTTTTCCATGTTATTCTATTCTATTCTGTGCTCTTGGTTCATTGCTGTTACTTTTAATGTCATAAGTTCCGGTTTTTTGGGCTCGTCAACTCTCATTAATTGCAAATAGGTCTTAAAATAAATTATATGTTCTGTTAGTTCTGGAATAATTCTCATGACTGTAAACTAGCAATTTGTTGTTTAATTGGAAAGGTTCTTGTACAAAAATAAGTGTTGAAGATAATTTATAAAATAACTGTCATGTTTATTCGAGGGGCTATTCACAGGCGAATTGGGTGACATCGCGTTTACAAAATGTAATCGATAACCCAGGATTACGGGACTGATTACACTGATTACCATTGCCTATGTGATAACTATGATTACCAAGACTACAGAATGTGATTACATGATTATAAATGATTTCCTAGATTACATTCTGTGATTACCAAACATCTGTAATTATTGAAATCACAAGAGATGGCCTCTTATTAAGTATGAATTGATTGAAAAATTAATTATTAGAACCTGCAAAGAAATGAGGGAGGAGGGGCGGGGATTAGAACAGCGAATGCAGCCTTCATCATTCCATCTAAAAATTTGGGCATTTATAAGTGCTATCAGAAAATAAATTTACTGAATATCTACCATTGATAGAGAATGCAACTTGCCAGCAGATGGGCATGGGATAATCCAGAGATAATTCAGTCGTTGGTTCTCCAGAATAAGAAACTTAAACTCTGTTGAATCAATTTTCTACGGACAAATGCTCTGTGCAAAACGCATTTCTGACGAATAAAAAGTGCGCATGTGTCAACAAAAATGGCAACTTCCGGTCGAGTTGCGGACAGTTTTATTCATGAAATACGTAAAAAAAATATTAATTGGAGGGATAAATAATTGAAAAGCCAGGAACAACCAAGGCAAGCATTTAAAAAAAAACAGACCTTCCATTGTGATTTCTAAAAATTTACATGAGTTTTTCAACATGGAAAAACCTAAAAAAGGTGCTACGAAAAGATGTTGTTATGGTCTATGCAAAAGTGACTCTCGCTCCAAAAAACTTCAGTCATGGAATTATTATTTTATTCGTTTCCCGAAGCCGTGCCTACACTGAGAAAAAAAATTTCTAAGAAATAGAAATTCTATGATTGATCCAAATCGTTCATCGATTGAATAGTCGCAAAAGAAAATGCTATTGTAAGACACAAATATCGATTTGAACTAAACCAAAATTGGATTGTATGAAATCGATTTTGTTATAGTATAGTATATTTTGTTTATTCTATCGAATTTAGAAAATACTTGTTTTTGCGACAAAATCGATTTCATACAATTCAATTTTGGTTTAGTTCAAACGCTTCGGATTTGGCGCAAATAATTTTTTTTTCACAATTGCAATGGAAAAATAATCAGTTCAAATGATGAAGAATTGCGTTTGTCGTAAACAAGAAACTGCGCTTCGCGAAAGTCTCGCATCAATGAGTATCCAACAATATGTTCCTCATAGGCCAAATGAATATTTTATTGCATCTATGAATTCTGCTTTCAATCGAACAGATATTCTTTTGCGGGATATCGTGACGCTGATAAATTGGATAATTATATGCTTTATTCGAAGAAGATATCTGATAATACAGACATTGCTTTGTATGTACTGAAAAGTAGATAGCAACAAAAAAAAAGTTTAGACAACTGATCTTATTCTTTTTCAATCGAAAACATTAAAATTAAATCGATATTTGTTTCTTACAATAGCATTTATTCTTTTGCGACTATTCAATCGATGAACGATTTGGATCAATCGTAGAATTTCTATTTCTTAGAAATTTTTTTTCTCAGTGTAGAATTCCGTAAGGGTAATGTGAAAGAATCAATAAAAAGACATTCAACTGAATGCAAAAAATGCGCAAAAAGTGACAAGTGGGTGAGGTTATGTGGGCGAAGAGATGAGGGTTTAAGATCCATCGAAAACATTACTAAGGAAACATACATTTGTTCCCTTCATTTTCTTGGGGAAAGTGGTCCTACTGAAGAAAATCCGGATCCAATTCCTCTGATTAACAGAAAAATGAACAAGAGAGTAAGTAAAACAATGGGTACCCAATTTCACACGATATTCGTCGCTCTTGTAGAGGTAAGTGATTGATAAATATTGCAATTTTTACAGTGTGCAGCTCCGAAACGTACATCTCTTGCTGAGAAATATGTAAAGATATCTCCACGACAACACCTTCAAACAAAAAATTCCTCAATAGATGCTGATGAGATGCTCATTGACAAGGAGTCCTCTGGAGACCACTATGTAGAAAAGACGATGCAGGTAATCGTTCATTGATTTACAAATATGAGGCACACTTTTTTATCTGTTCGGCGAACAAAAACCGTATAAAGCAAATCCTCATGTAGTCCATTGAGTAGAATTTTTCTCTTCATTCAAAAGGGATTGGAAATGACAACAGGAGTAGGTTTGGGGCATATTGTGGTCTCAATTCAATAGACAAGCGGTTGAACAGTTCAAATTCAGTCAATTTCTTACTAAGTTTGAAATCATATTGTCATTTTTGTGAGTTCCTGTTCCACCGGTGTTATATTCCTATAGCAAAAAAAAATATCAGTTCGATTGGATCATTGCTTCTTCATTTAATTTTTCGTGACTATACCATACATATTGTTTGATTAGAATCCTTGGAAACCCTTTGGCAAAAAAAAGGAATCTCGTAAAATAGCAACATAATTTCTCACTATTTTTTATTCTTTTCAATAACTTTATATTAAGCAAGATAGTCAACATCAATAGGGTCTACGGGGTGGGTTCCGTAGATGTACCAACACCTTCAATATCTTGGAACGATGCTGGATGAGATGCTAGCCCAGATACAATTTCTTAAATATTCATAAGGCCCCAGCTGACCATTGGGATAACAATTCATCAAAGAGACAACGATTTTCAGGATTTTTTTATAACGTCCGGACGAAGAAAATGAACTACTATGATCTGAAAGAGGAAACAAAGCAAATATGGAAAGAAAAAATCATGATAAATCATCCGGAAAAATGCCGGGGAGGGATTTTGATTACCTATAGATATTTTAGATTAAATGTTCAATTAATGTAATAATGGGCTAGTCCTAATATTGTTGAATCCTTGTCGCATGTCCGGTAAGAAATTGAAGGTGATTAGAAATAGGTTCAGCTGAATATTTCCTCTCCAGAGACAAAATAAATACGGAATTTTATTCAAATTTTTCAGACGCCTATATCCGGAAGGTTGAAAATTTAGGGGGGGAGACGGGGAGGGGTCCCAGATTATATTTTTATGAAATCTAGCCCTCGGGAAACATGCGTTGATTTTTTATAATTTTTAGAAGAGTGAATTTCGGGGAAAATACATGAGTATGTTGTTTTTTTGGGGGGTTGAAGACAGCCGCATGTATTCGGAGGGTTAAAAATTCACGGGGGTGAGGGGAAGGTGTCCCATTATATTTTTATGAAATATACCCCTCCGGAAACATGCACAGATTTTTTATAATTTTTTTAAAAATAAATTTCGGGAAAAATCCATGAGAATGAAGTTTTCCTGGGGGGTTGAAGACAGCCGCATGTATCCGCAGGGTTGAAAATTTAGTGGAGTGGGAGGACGCGGTTCCAGATGACATTTTTGCACAAGTCACTTCTGTATGCGTTGATTTTTTTTAAATCTATTCCGTGGGTATTTTTACGGCATTTTTTATTCATTTTTTTTATTTTTGAGAATAAACCCACAAAACGCATACCATCGGAGGAGTGACTACATTACTGACTACAGTATTGTATAAATGTAATCTGGAACGCCTCCCTCTAACCCCTCTAAATTTCCAACCTTCCGGATACATGCGGCTGTCTTCAACCCCCTGGAAAAACACCATTCTCATGTATTTTACCTGAGATTTATTTTTAAAAGAATTATAAACAATCAGCGCATGTTTCCGGAGGAGTAAATTACATAAAAATGTAATCTGGGACCTCTTCCCCTCACCTTCCTGAATTTTCAACCCTCCGAATATATGCGGCTGTCTTCAACCCCACAGAAAAACCGCATACTCATGTATTTTCCCCGAAATTCACTTTTTTAAAAATTATAAAAAATCAACGTATGTTTCCCGAGGAGTATATTTCATAAAAATATAATCTGGGATCCTTCCCCGTCACCCCCCTAAATGTTCAACCCTCCAGATACATGCGTCTGTTTTCCACCCCATTTAAAGACCCAACTCCCGGGTTTTTTAATGTAATTTATTAGTACAGTTAGCACCAAAAGTTGTGCTAATCTTTTGCCAGAATCGTTCCCCAGTTTCAGCGTCATACTAGCGCTAAAGGATCAATCAATCCATAAATGGGCAGTTGTTGGTTGTGGTGTCGTGCTCTCGCAAAAAAATTAAATAAAGAAAGAATAAAAAGTGAAGTACCACCGACGTCGTTCCTCTCTTCCCCCTTGCAGACTTTTCTGTTTATCGGATTCTCGGGGGTGAAAAAATTATGAGACTTGTGTTTTACGTTCAGTGGAGAATAACAAGTCTCGCAAAGTTTGGGATAATTGTCATTGGGACAGTATTTAATTGTTGACTTGAAGTTGTGTCTGAATTTTTTTAGTCTACGTTATTTTTCCAAATTGCTCCTGCTGTTGATTTTTACGTGACAGTTCGATATTTAGACAGCAACTATGATATTCCATAAATTTCTTTCTAATTCCACGCTTTCGAATTTCAGAGAAACGTAGTCTGGGGAACGCGTGTGGCCGAGGCAAATGATGGAAGAACGTGTAACTCCGAAGTCATGAACGATACAGACAGAGCTTCTGATGTTAATTGTATGGAATCCATCGCCTCGACTTCCTCAGTGATGAATGACGAGTCTGCTCATGATGATGAATTCGAGGCAGCACTTGAGACTTCAAGTTATGAAGCAGAAGTTGAAGTTTTTGATGAACTAATCGATGAGAAAATCCAGGAGTTTATCAATTCATCTATAAACACAGAAGTTTTCACAACATCGCCAACTGCCAGTACTGAGGGCCACAATTATGACCAGAGAAAACACGTAAAACATGTATTCAGAGATTTTGGGACTCAGACCGTGAAGAAGTGGGCATCGCGGACATTGAGCGTGCAAACTGAGAAGAGATCAGTAATGCATGACTTTGAAAACAACTTGCAATCTGATCCCAAAGAATGTTTCTTCTATACAGGTCTATATTTTTGTCAGATAAAAATTCTTTTGTCATTTCTGAGTCCAGCATGTTATCATTTGCAGTATTGGAACACTCCAATAAATGGATTAGCTGATAATAATGAGGATGATAGAATGAGTGATGATAGAATGAGTGATGATGAAGATAATCCTAGATTGAAATTAACTATCAGGCAACAATTAATATTAGTTCTGGTCAGATTACGTGTTGGTTTATTAATTCAAGACTTGTCGTATCGTTTCAAAATTTTTGTCTGACTTATAACAAAAATCACAGTAACTTGGATTCAATTTATGTACATGGAATTTGATAGGATATTTCGCGCAGAGGGGAAACCAAATAACAAAAGCATAAAACAAATGCGCATGTTTCCACCGCGCCAAATAATTGCTCGTACATTACCGAAATCTTTCAAGAAATTGAACAATATTGGAGTTTTGATAGATTGCACCGAGTTTTTCTGTCAATCTCCTGCTAATTTTGAACAGCAAGGTAACATGTACTCGTCATATAAAGCACACTCAACTTTTAAAGTATTGATAGGATGCACACCTAATGGAGCAATTTGTTTTGTATCTGATGTATATGAAGGGTGCATTTCCGATCGAGAAATTTTTATACGGTCCCAATTTGCTGATTATCTAGAAGAAGGCGACTTAGTACTCGCTGATAGAGGTTTCACAGTTTCAGATTTGGTTCAAGCGAGGGGAGCCCATTTGAATATACCTCCCTTCTTAAAAGGACGAAAACGCCTAACAGCTCAAGAGGAACTTCAGACAAAGTTTATTGCTAAACAGAGAATATATATTGAACATGCTGTAGGTAGGATTAAACAATTTCGTATATTACACCGTACATTACCACTAACTTTAAGTGGTATGATTTCACAGATCGTTTTCATTTGTGCATGCCTGGTGAATTTCCAGAAACCTATTGTGAAGGATTGAACGAAAAATTCTTCAATATTTCATTTTATATTAATTGAATCAAAATGAATTACTCGTATTATTTATATTCATAACTTTTTTATTGAACTCTGATGTCTTTGATCAATAAAAATATCAATATTTGAACCCTTAATACTCATTGACTTGAAACCCAATCATAAATAAATAAATAAAACATTTATTACTTAAGTTCTATCGATTATAGAAACTTCGAATGTTTTTGACTATGTCTAACTTTAAAGTTATAGATTTTTGCTATAGANGCGCCTCCTCCACAGGATTCTTGCAAAGAATCTATTAATTGTTTCTCCTTCACTTCGGGATTGCACATCTTTTGTCTGAGAGTAGGATTGTAATCACGTTTCTTTGTCTTTGATTTTTTCTTTGTGTATGACACTTCATCAGCACAATGAGCTTGTTTACGTTTCTTTCCCTGATTCCATTTGCACAAATTGCTTGTGCAAGAATTCTCCTTATCGTCATTAAGAATATAAAATTCTAAAGCAAATAGGAGTGCTGCTACGTGACTGCACCTACCCATGGCAGAGGCCTTGCACTCACATTTTGCATCAACAATCTGGCTAGTCGTGTAATCTATCATGACCATCACACAATATCGAACATCAGCTTTGAATGAAGCTTCAACTTTACACGTGAGGCAATAGAACTTTTGATCATCAGTAGAAGAATCCATGATGTCTTGCACATGTTTACTTTCAAAATAAGTTCTCCCTCTTGAGAAAGGCTTGGCAGTTCCACAATCGATTTTTTTAATGTTTATGGTTTGTAGATCTTGTGCATCAATCATCTCAATTTCCATAAAGTATTCATAGATACACCCAAAATTAAACACTTGTGGAACTTGTATCGATGGAAATTTTGTCCACTGAGTAGGATAATCAGGTAGTTGAGCTAGACTAGAGAGAGCAGTTGTTCTCAAGTTATTCACTTTGACATTGAGCCATTGACCATTATCTACCTGGGGATCTATTTCAACTTGATTCTCCAAACACCATCTCACTCTGAAATTAATAAAATAGCATGAGAATACGCGTTGAGAAAAGGCATATCGTCAATCCCAAACAAACTAACCTCTTCATCCAATCTTCCTTTTTTCCATCGATCCTTTGATTCCGACAAGTCAACCATCGTTTTAATTGAAGAACACTATGGGCTTCAATTGTATTATAAACAAAACCAGCACCTGGGACATCGGATTCTACCAATTTTGTTGACATAAATGGTTGTGCTGGCCATTGTGTACAAAATTGTCCGCAATTTTTGAAATATCCGCCATCATTTTAGTTACATTCATAGCGCGCTTGCAACATCCGGTCAGAATGAAAAGGTCTATTGGCTATGCAAGGTTCTGAACCATAAACATCTGGGATTCCAAGAAAAGTTGATCCAGGGATCTCTGNATAAACAAAACCAGCACCTGGGACATCGGATTCTACCAATTTTGTTGACATAAATGGTTGTGCTGGCCATTGTGTACAAAATTGTCCGCAATTTTTGAAATATCCGCCATCATTTTAGTTACATTCATAGCGCGCTTGCAACATCCGGTCAGAATGAAAAGGTCTATTGGCTATGCAAGGTTCTGAACCATAAACATCTGGGATTCCAAGAAAAGTTGATCCAGGGATCTCTGAACTTACCGTTGGTAGAAATGACGCGCTCGAAAATTCAAAAACAAAATTCACGGTCTCACTAGGAGCAACTACGAATGATGACACTGATTAAAAATGATTACAGTGATTACAAATGATTACCACTTGATTACCAAAACTTGATTACAAATATGGTAATCATGTGATTACAATGATGACATTGATTTCACTAGCATTACAATTGATTACATCAGCGAGTGACACCACGATTGCGCCTGTGAATAGCACCTCGTGTTTATTTCAGTTGAGTTTTTATGTTTATCACGTAGGAAATGAGAATTTTATTGAATATGAAACTATTTCAAGCCCATAATTAACTCTTCATATTGAACACCTTAAAAATTCCCTGCTCGCCAATATTTCCAAAGAATTTTCTTCACTATTCTATATCCAATGAAAAAATACAATGCGGGCGGTATATTTTCACTGCTTGCTCCAAACAATTTACTGATTGTCAGGTAATTTGTTCTGAAATTGTAAAATTTACCATAAAGAGAGTAAAAGCAAGGGGGCTGGCAGTGATAATGCGTCTTGTTATCTCTGCCCCAGTATATGTATAGCAGTGTACCCGCCGCCAACGACGCGTAGTCAGACACTTACGGAGACGACAGCGCACACTGATAGAATGATTCATTTATTCCAAACGAGATTCGTTAACTATTAACGAATGGTAGAGTTGAATATGACCAAGTGAATATCCGTTAATAGTTAACGAATGGTTCACTTGAATGGCAAAAGTCAAGTCAAACAAGGCTCCTCTCAAATATACATTCGTTAGGCCCGGTTGGAGGGATTTTTTTCCCGAGTTGCGATTTTATGCCCCCCCAGTTTGCGGTGAAAGCAGGAAGCTTTATCCCGACCATAGCTATGTCGGTAACTGCGGGAATGGCAGGAAACCAGGGTGACATATAAAAGTGGGGCTTGGAAGGGGCCCCGCAGTTTTTGTTTCTTATTTTGTTCGTGTTTATTTTTTCCGGTAGATCTTCTCATGTTTCCTATGAAGTTTTCGAGAAATATTTGTGATTTTCGAGAGAATTCTGCGGTTTCTGCGAAAATTCCTAAAAATTCTCCAGTTTTCGAAAAAATTACAAGGATATTTAGAGTTTTCAAACAAAATTCGAGGAAATTCTAGGGTGTCCGAGCACATTCGAAGAAATTCTTCAGTTTTCTAGAAAATTCCAGAAAAAACTTGGGTTTTCGAGACAGTTGTAGATAATTCTTAGGTTTTCAAGAAAATTCTAGGAAAATTCTCCGGTTTTTGAAAAAATTAGAGGGGGCGGNTTCAAGAGTGGGGTAAAATAGACATCCGAAAAATTTGGTCCTATTCCAAAATAAAGAAAATTTTTAAAGGACATTTTCCAACAGAATCGTGTCGGTATCTTTGTATAAAGAAAAATTAGAGTTGGGAAAGATATTAACAACCAAACTTCGACTTTATTGAATTTTCCATTGAAGTTTGAAATACNTTGTATAAAGAAAAATTAGAGTTGGGAAAGATATTAACAAACAAACTTCGACTTTATTAAATTTTCCATTGAAGTTTGAAATATAAAGTAGCTTTGAATTTCCTGTTTTACTCTTGAAATAACTTTGAAATTATTAATTTTGTTTCAATGATAAATTGCACGCCCTACACATCTGACCTTTTGTTCATTTGCGAAATTTGTAAGATGGCTACTTTTCTACTCACAGCGGAAATCACCATAAAACAATAAGCGGGGAGGAGGATGAATGAGCAAGAAAAAATTTGATTGACCACCCCCCACGACGAACGTCAGAAATAATTTTTTTTTTTAATTTGAAAAATTAAAATTGTTGAAACATAAAAAATTGAGGAAGAAATCGAGGTGTCTATTTTACCCTGTTTTTTTCTTATTATGACGCAGTTTCATGAGAATGTGTTGGTTTTTATGATCTTCAAATGAAGTCGGAAGAGTAGATTTGATCAAATTCAACTCATTATTTAAATCTGGT